AAAAGGAATGCGCTGTAATTTCTCTTTCCAGGGATCAGTTCGATGTGTTCGCGAAAACCTTGGAGCGTCTCAGTATTCCGCTGGTAATTTTTTCAGCTGGCGTCGGTGACGTCATTCAGTTAGTGTTGGCACACGACCTCGGCAGGTTGCCGAGTAACATTCACGTGGTTAGCAATTTTATGAACTTTGATACTGAGGTACGTGGTGGTTTATGACGGACATGTTTATGAGACCATCGCACAATTTTTCTTAGGGCAAAATATGCGCATTCAAGCCTCCGCTTTTGCATACGTTTAACAAGGGAACAGCGGTGATCAATGGACAGTCGACGTTTGCGTCCGACCTTCGGCGGCGTCCGAATGTGCTCTTGCTGGGTGATAGTCTCGGAGACCTGCACATGGACTCGGGCCTAGTGAATGAAGACTGCATTTTGAAGATAGGCTTTTTGAACGGAAGAGTACACAGCGACGTAAATTCTTGTTGCGGCTTGACTGACTTTGGCTTTTCAGGTAAATGAATCGTTTTCACAATTCGTAAACGGGTACGACATAGTCATCATCGACGACCAAACCTTTGATGTACCAAACTCGTTGCTGAGCGCGATCGTTGAATCTGCCACCATGTACTGATTTCTTGAGCCGGTTATATTCTCTCGTCTCTGAAAGCCGTTTTTTATTGTCAGTCTTACCTCTGTCTTCTCTTCTGTTGCCGGTAATTAAAATTCAGTTTCTAGAATCTGCCAAACAGTCTTCTTCCGTAATATAAAAGTTTCGTCTGTCTGTTGGTTATAATGGATGCTTTAAGAAATATTATTGCCTGAGATGTGTGTAAATTAAGCAAATAACTCATTTTTGAACATCATTTTAATTGTTTTCTGTTTCAACAAATTGCGACTTCAGTAGACCTAAGTTAATCGTTGTTTTAAGTGGCGACGTTTCGGCCAAAGTGCTTTGGCCATCGGTAAGACAAATCTTATTTTCCATTTGTGTGCTTGCCTATGTATATGACCATTGATGACAATGTCTTAAGCTTTTTCTGTCATGTGGTTGGTGAATATGACAAGAAACTTTATAATTCATTATCACTATGCTACCGTCAAACTTTCCCATTGGGAATTTGCAAATAACTGGCTGCATGATCTGATATTCATGGCCGAAGTTCACACTATGGCATCTTTTACTGGCAGTGGAGATGCACGCAGCACCCTTGTCCTTCCTGTTCAAAACCGGTTTAACCCCGGCTGTATTTCACAAGCTAAGTCCGTCGGTCTCTTAATCGGATTGAACTTAAAGTCTTTAAGTTAGTGAACCCGGACATTAAATTACATCGCATATACATTTATTACAAACTGTTTACCCTAGGATGGCCAATTTTGTTTCGCTGAAACGTCAGCGGTTATAATAAAAGCTACGCTGTGTCTGTCTCCTTGTGTCCTGAACCACTGAAGTGACAGTTTATTAAGCTAATAAAGACATTGAATTATTCCGCATTGAAATTTAGAAAAATATTCTTAGATATCCCGACTCATACCGCATACATAACTTCTAATATTTTCTTCACTTTCAAGCCTGTATTTCAGTCACTTCATCATCTAACTAGATGGAAAATCTTCAAATACCTGAGATACCTGATTATATCGTCAGATTTTTAAAGGAACCATGTCCTTTTTCAAAGTTGAAGAAGTACACTCTGCATCTGAATCGATAAATATAGGGTTTGCCAGGGTGATATGCTTTCGCCTTTGTTACTCAACATTATTCTAGACTTTTTTAAATAATGCTAACCTGGGAAAGACGAATGTCTCATACTACAGAGAAGGCGCAGACGAAGATATACGGCTAGATGTGTTGTTGACCTGTAGAACGTACATGGTATTGTTTTGTTCAGTACTGCGGGATACGGTTTTGTCACCTGACGACTTCCGTATATGCAACACGGCGTGCAAAGTCACCCCTTCCTTAACTTCTGGAAGTCAGAAGTTATGATGAACCCATCGAGTATGGTCGGTCTACAAATAGAACAAGGAGGTGAAGCATTTACATAGGTTGACCAGTTTAACTGTCTCGGTTTCATTATCTCCAACGGTGGCACTATCGAGCCAGAGTTAAATAGGAGAATCGCCCTACCCTGGAGTGCTTTTGCAAACATGTTAAATATTCCAACTGAGAAACTAGTTACTGTTCACAAAAAACTACTCCTGCACCTTACCTCTGTCAAGTCAGTGTTATTGTGTAGCGTAAAAACAGTTGTTCCTACGAGGGACCACGGACGACAGTTGAACTACCTACAGCAACGTTGGTTCGATACATTATTGCGAAGGTCCGTATATGCAACAATTTTATTCTCTTCTGGATACGGTGACTTCAGTCGATATGGAGACTAAGAAAATGAATTTGGCCCCGTTAGACGAACTAGTTGAGCATCCACCATTTGATCGAATCCGCCATCTCGATGGGAAATTGTAACATAGCAAACGTAGATCACGCAGCATGCAACACAGAGGAACAAGTTTGAGACAGATCTACGTACGGAGAGGATGTTGAGGTTCGCCCTATTAAGCACACTGGTCAAGCATAATACCCTTTACTGCAGCCTCTAACTTCTTGTGTAAACCGGAGCACGGCAGACGTCGACCAGCATGCAGCATGGAACAACAATGTATAGGTAGATCTGCTTTTGGAGTGGAACATTTTCTTCAGTGATGCAGCAACTGGTGCCTTATAGCAAGTGTTGAAAATCTATGGATACAGCGAACATCGGAAATCAGAAATGTTCTGCTTATGCAAATGGCTTGTGATGATCTCAAGAAGCATACGCGGCACTGCGACGGGATATTTAGGCGTTTAGGAGCATTGGACAGTATAATACGTTATGATACCGATCTTTCGAGAAGTATACCATTGAACAGCATATATATATATATAATTAATTAAAAGGTCTATGATGTTTTTGGTTTCTTACGATACCGCAACCTTGCGGCATCCTCTTGTTTCTGGTAGCCTATAGGGATAACTTAATATAAGCAGGCCAAAGCGCTTGAGTGTCTGCAGTGCATAGGATGTCACATCATCTCACAAGTCAGAATATATTA